GGCGCCCTCATTTAAAATCAGCTCACATAATTTCTGTGCTTAAATTAAACTGCAAGGTGTACGAAAGGCACTGGGTTCCCAGCAAGCGTGGATGAGCGGAGGAAGCGCAGAACCTGGGTGTTGCAGGAGGAGGAAACATCCAGATCATTCTCTTTTGCCACCTGCCTCTGGCCGCAGTCTCCCTGGCACCTTAGTGAGAAGCATCAGGTGCGTGCCAGGCTCCTCCAGAGGGTCTGTGGGGTACGGTTAGGTGTCAGCTAGGGAGGCAGCAAAATGAACCAGACCCTGCTGCAGAGGACCAGTTAGCCACTCCCCAAGCTTTGGCCACCTTCCTCCCACTTTGTGCTCACAGGCATGATCCAGAAAGCCTCTGCACATCACAGGTGGGTGACCAATCCCTGTGCGTCCCAGGTGTGCGACTTCCTACACAAAGTATTCCCCCAGGTCCACAGCACCAGCAGCCCAGGCCAGCGGGCGGGCGGTTCTCCTCTCGGGGCAGGCAGGATGCTTCAGCACAAGCAACAGGAACCCTGGGAGAGTGGCCATAGAACACCAGCAGCCTCTTGTCACACATCATGAAAGGTTCAGGGACGGGGGTGTTGGGGGTGGCTGGGTTCAGGGGAACCTTTCCACTCTGCTACCTTCAGCAGAGTCACGGAGCCCCTCAGCTGTCACCTCATGGTTCCAATGTGGCTGCTGCACTTCTGGGCACCACTTGCAGATGTGACAATGTCCACTTAAAGAAGAGGGCACTTCCTCCAGTACATCTCTTTGAATTAGGGAGGGAGAGTTTCCTAAAAGGTCCCAGAGACTCCCTATCAGGTCCCACTGGGCAGAGGAGCTCCCATGCCCAGGCCCTAACTGCAACTGGCGGCTAAGAAGGAGAGTGTCTAAAATGTTCACCTCTGCGACAGGACATGGGTTCTCCTGGACACAAAGAGAAGGGACAGGCGGTTGGGCAGCCAATCCCAGTATGTTCCAGATATGCCACTTCTTGCATAAGAGGTTCAGGAATAAACTCACCATGTGATTTCTGTTGAAAGATGGTCTTGTGCAGCAAAGATGGAACTTTCTCACTGAGATTCTACTAACCTCGTTTTTAAAAAGTTTTAAGTGTGAGCCACTTTCCAAACTGAGATGGGATAAACAGAGCTGCGCCCAAGCAGATCTTCAGTACTGCATTCGTCGCACTGTCGCATAATTGCATTTTTCTGCATATCTCCTCCACGTTAGCTTGAGCTCCACAAGGGCAGGGAGAGCGCCTTAACACTGAATTCCAACAAGTGAACTTGTGCCTGATACAGTCAGGTAGTCCAGTTTCAGTGTTTGAGTACCATCTATTACCAGGCACGGTTCTAGGTAGTGCATAAAACAAATGACCTGCTTTCACAGAGCTTACCTTTTAGTGGGTGGAGATAAACAGGACAGATAAACAGGTGTACACACAAGTATATACATGTAGAATGTTAGCTGACGGGTGATAAGTGCTGCAAAGGAATAAAAGTCAGGATGAGGGGCTAGAAAGTGATGAAGGAAGCTGCTCTCTCAGCTGGATCACTGGGAAAGACTCTCAAGAGGTGACATTGCAGCAGAGAGCTGAACGCAGTGAGGAAGCCATGAGGTTTGTTGAAAAAGAGCATTCCAGGCAGAGAAACAGCAGGTGCAAAGGCCTTACGGCAGAAATCTGCCTGGAATGTTCAAAGGCAGCACGAAGGCCAGTGTGCCCGGAGAAGCATGAATGGGGGAGGTGGTGGGAAATAAGGCCAGAGGGGACGCCAGGGCCACATCAGCGAGGGACTTGTGGGCCACAGTCAGGACGTAGGCTTTACTGACGAACATGGTTGTCATTGTCCGATTTTGAGTGAAGGAGAAGCATAATTCAACTTGCATTTACTTTTTTTCTTTTTCTTTTTTTGAGACGGAATCTCGCTCTCTCCACCAGGCTGGAGTGCAGTGAGTGGCGTGATCTCAGATCACTGCAACGTCTGCCTCCCAGGTTCAAGCAGTTCTTATGCCTCAGCCTCCTGAGTAGCTACAGATAACAGGTATGCGCCACCACACCCAGCTAATTTTTGTATTCTTAGTAGAGATGAGGTTTTGCCACGTTGGCCAGGCTGGTCTTGAACTCCTGACCTCAAGTGATCCACCCGCCTCGGCTTCCCAAAGTGTTGGGATTACAGGTATGAGCCACTGCACCTGGCCTCAACTTGCATTTTAAAAGAAGCATTTAGGCCGGGCAGGGTGGCTCACACCTGTAATCCCAGCACTTTGGGAAGCTGAGGTGGGCGGATCACCTGAGGTCAGGAGTTCAAGACCAGCCTGGCCAACATGGTGAAACCCCGCCTCTACTAAAAATACAAAAATTAGCTGGGCATGGTGGTGCATGCCTGTGGTCCCAGCTACACAGGGGGCTGAGGCAGGAGAATCGCTTGAACCCAGGAAGTGGAGGTTGCGGTGAGCCGTGATCACGCCATTGCACTCCAGCCTGGGTGACAGAGCAAGACGCCATCTCAAAAAAAAAAAAGAACCATTTTGGCTTTACCCCCTGAATACATTGGGAGTAAGCATGTGAGGAGACAGCCTGGGGATGGGGGTGGGAGTGGGGGTGCTGCACCACTTCTGAGAAGCACCTCTCGTTGGGGTGAGGTGGCACCGTGGCTAACAAGCAGGCCTGGGAGCCAGGCTCCCCGGGTCTCAGCCAGAGCTATGACTTAGGACACGTTGCTTAGCCTGTTTGTGCCTCATCTGATTCACCATAAAGTGGGGATCATAACATTAGCTTCCTCAGTGGTTCTCAAAGTGTGGCCTTGGCCAGCAGCATCGACATCACCCAAGAACTTACTGGAAATACAAATTGTCAAGCCCCAGCACAGACCTGCCATGTCAGAAACCCGGGGGGTAGAGCTGCCAGACAAACTACAGGTCATCCCACTAAATCTGAATTTCAGACAGATGATTATCCATGCAATATTTGGGGCCTGCTTATATTAAACGATAATTTGTTATCTGAAATTCAAATGTAATCAGATGTCCTGAATGTTTATTTGTTAAGTTTGGCAGCCCTGTCTTGGGGGGCACCCCGCAATCTGCATTTTATGGGATCCTCCAGGTGATGCTGGTGGCTGCATCGCCTGGAGGTTTCAGAGCGCGAACCTTCCTCGTTGGTGGTGCTGGAGGCCTCCGAATTTAGCACAGCGCCTGGCTTGTGGCCAGTGCTGGAGGTGGCCACTGTTCCACCGAGTACTCACTGATGCCAGGGAACTGAGTGCCTTGGTGGAGGCCCACCATGGGTGTGGGCTCTTCTCCAGGAAGGTTCTTATCCTACATGGGTTGAGTTCTTGGAGATTTTCAAAGTACACTCATCTGATTACCTGAAATCATTCCACTCCCTCCCTCTGATGGGCATAGGAAGAGAGTGCCCATCCTCCCCGTGGCTCAGGAGTTTGAAATTTCTCTAACTCAGTAACCAAGAAGGAATGAAGTCTAAAATCCAGCTGACTAATGACACTGCAGAGAGCGTAGGTTTCAGTTTCTGGATTGCTCTGGTCAGTTTTGCTGAGCACTTGGACTGAGGGGGCCTAAAGGAGTCACTCTTGTAAATGTTAACTCAGTGGTCAGAACAGAAGGCTGAGATGTTTTTGTGAAGACAGCAAGGAAAACACACTTCCTGGCTTCCCTGGAAATAACAGACACATATATCCTAATTATTTATGAAATGAATGAATAATTTGTGTTCATCCTATCATCACCCAACCCATTGGTGTCAATGAATGATGCCAACCTGTTATATCAATAGAGTCCGAAATTTTATGTGAAATCATCATCCTGAGTGGCTGTCAGGAATATCTGAAAAATACTAATTATCATGTTAGATTGGCCCTGGGAAATAAACACAGAACTTAAGTGTCTAGTAAAGTACAGAGCGCACCCCAGCCTCACTTACAAATAAATACCTTCTCAAGATGCCACTGTGTCCTCAGAACTCGGTGTGTTCACACACGTGGCTTGTTCCCCAGCAGCAACTTCACATTCAAGCAGAATTCAAGCAGAGGCCTGGAATTAAAACGTCTCCACTTTTCTTTAACCAAATGGTAGTTCTAATTATAGCTTTCAGACTGGCGTGCGTGTTTATTTGTTCATCTCTCACTTTGGCTTGTAATTAAGAGTTAGTGCATTGTATCTTAGAAATGGGTGACAAATTATTACAATGTGTTCTGGGCTGTGGGTGATTACAGCAGGTGGTTAAGGAGGCTTGGGGTGTTATCCATTTCTATAATTATGTCCTCCTGTTACATTTAATGTTCATGACCAGGACACAGGGAATGCAACCTTTAGTCTCGATCACATCAGAAAAGGCAGCAGTGTCTTCCATGGAAGCATATGGCCTCCTGAAAGCCCTGAAGGGCAGGCACTGGGAGTCCCCAGTTCTGGTCCTCACGCTGCCCTAACTGGCTGGTGACTCCAGAGAAGCCATTTCAAATCTGGCCAACTCCTCTTTTGTGAGCTTTTATCTGTCCTCCTAGTTTAGCAAACAACAGTGCTCAATAAATATATGTCAAATAAAGTGTGTGAATAAACAAAGTAATTGATGAAAAGCACTCAGCCCCACTTCGAATTTCCCTTTTTTTTTTTTTCTTCTGAGACAGGGTTTCGCTCTTTTCCCCACGCTGGAGTGTGGTGGCACAATCTTGGCTCATTGGAGCCTCTGCCTCCCAGGTTCAAGCAATTATTCTGCCTCAACCTCCCAGGTAGCTGGGATTACAGGTGCCCATCACCACACCTGGCTAATTTTTGTATTTTTAGTAGAGACGGGGTTTCACCATGTTGGCCAGGCTGGTCTCGAACTCCTGACCTCAAGTGATCCACTCGCCTTGGCCTCCCAACGTGTTGGGATTACAGGCATGAGCCTCTGCGCCCGGCCAGAGATTCTGAAAAAAAAAGAAAGAGAGAGAGAGAAAGAGAAGGAAGGAAGGAAGGAAGGAAGAAAGGAAGGAAGGGACGGAGGGAGGGAGGAAGGAAGGGAGGAAAGAAGGAAGGAAGGGAGGAAAGAAGCCAGTAGCCTGGCCAGAATTTTCTTTGCTGACAGCATGCCTCTTATTAGGTGGCCTCACAGGGATAATATCCCTGTTACAGAGGCACAGAATTCAAATCCTGCACTCCTTGTATAAGGCATGGCTGCATGAGCTAAAGAAAATTACATCTCCCAGAGCCTCAGTTTGCCTACTTGTCAAATGGGGTGCGATAACATTTACTGCCATGGCTGCTGGGAAATTGAGTGAGGTGACGCGTGCAGACCATATGGTGGCAGTAGGTGCTCAACAGATGATGGTCCTCAGGATTTAGCTGGTGCCCTTCACATTCTTCACCCAGCCAATGGTTGTTGAGTTCACTCAAAGCCATCAGAGGTCCACAATTGGTCTGACCTGGCCCTTCCTGCTGTGTCAGGGCACACAGAGAGCCCATTGTCACTGTCACACCAAACTGTCCTTGTTACTTTGTCACAATGTCCATCGTTCCCTGGCTAGTGCTTGGGCAGAAATGGTGGCTCTCTTACCAGCCCAGTGCCCCTGGCACTGACATGGTAGCTGACATTCCATCCCCCATGTCATGTCCCCCCACCAGCTCAGTGGCACACCTCTCCCCAGTAGGGTTTCAAGGAAGAATCCGGAAAGGCTCTTGTCTGAAACTCAGGAGAAATTCTCTTGGCGCTGGAAAAGCCCAGTGCTGCTCAAAATCATGCACCTCTCCTTTCCTGGGGAAGAACACCCGCTTCTGCGGAAAGTCCTGGGGCCACAGGGTCCTCAAAGGACCGCTTCCTGCAAGAGCCTGGGCACATCAAGGGCTAGTGCCTGTGCCACCTGGTTCTACCCCCCTGGCAGAAAGGCCCTGACCTCCCATTTCTCTTCCCAGCGGCTGCGATTTTCTCCACTCCACGTTTCTCTCCTTCCAGGAGCAGGATTCTCCCTAACCTGCCTCCAGGCCCAGATGGCAGTCAGGAATCAGGCTTTAAGGAACGATTAACACCCAGTGTGATGATTTCAGCTCCTGCTCCCATGACCTCCACATCCCCTAAACTGTATGGCTGCATGATCTAAAGAAAATCACTAAATTTCCCAGAGCCTCAGTTTGCCTACCTGTTCAATGGGATGCAATAACATTTACTGCCCATGGCTGTTGGGAAAATTTAGTGAGGTGATGCGTGTAGAGCACACGGTGGCAGTGGGGGTGGGTCTGTTTCTCCTTGTTCGCTGCTGCCCTGTGGGGAGAGCACCCCCTGCACTGAGGAACAGAGTGACCTCAGGGCCCGCAGGTCCTGGGCCTACCACCCCACCCTCTGGAAATACAGGTGGGCATGGGAACCACAGCAGAACAGCTGGTCAGTCATTCGCTTTCCTCTTCATTAACTTCACGCACATGCAGGGTTCTCCCAAAGGCTGCCTTCTATTGGTGATGACTTCAGTGTGCTACAACCAGTGACACTGCACACTGTGAAGAGCACTTCTGGATTGATTCCTGAACTTGACCTCTATTCGAGAAGTTTTACAACCAAATCATCTGGTGTATTGCAGTCATCTCAATAACAGCATCGGGTGAAATCAGTATCATTTGGGGACTCACAGCGAAGTCTGGAGCACTGTTTCTCAAAGAGTGTTTCCCACATCTCCGACGAGGTCCAGAGAGGCCTTACCGGGCTGTCTGGAGTTTTCTAGGAGAATGTGTCTGTGTTTTCGTTTGGTGCTGGCCTATGCTGGGCGTACAGTGACAGCCTAGGGGATGTGGAGGTCATGGGAGCAGGATCTGAAATCCTCACACTGGGTGTTAATGGTTTCCTAAAGCCTGATTCCTGACTGCCATCTGGGCCTCGAGGCAGGACTGGGGAAGATCCTGCTCCTGGAAAGAGGAAGATGTGGAGTGGAGAAAATCTCAGCCACCTGGGGGAAACAGGAGGTCAGAGCCTTCCCACTAGTGGTGCTGAGGAAGAGTGGGGCAGAGGCAGGTGGCACAGGCAGCAACCCTTAGTGTCCCCTCTTCCCCTGAGGCCACACTCTCCAAGCCAGGAGGGTCACAAAGCAGCATGAGGAAGAGGTCAAAGCAGGGCCACGCCTCGACCTGATTCCCATGGGGACTCCAAGAACACCTGGCCTGCGGGCCCCACCCCCATGGCTCTGGGACTCCCAACTTCCACCCAGGCCAGGGCAGCTGGGTAAATACAGAGACTCAAAAAGAGCCCAAGGTGACACAGGGCCTGTGCAGCTCCATGTGTTATGGCAGGAACCCCTAGGTACCTATTAGCTGAGGCATGGGGACCTGTCAGAGAAAGTCATTTTCATGGGGGTAAAGTGACTCTGAAGCCAAGGGCGCAATCAGTCAATGGGGCTGTTTGAGCCAAGAATCAAATGGAAGTTCCAGCCAGACCTCAGGGCACCCCCAGAGCAGCCAGGACGTCATCAGGCAGGGTGGACAGCTGAGCTCCCCAGACCACAGATGACAGCAGCCACAGGCTTCTGCAACAGCCCACCAGGCTGCCCAGGGGCAGGACAAGACAGACCTACCACCTAAGCCTCCAGCAGCCAGGGCCCACCCAAGGGCAGAACAGCCACCCGCCTAGAGACCAGAGGCTCTCCTTCCCCCACCGCATGCACCGCCCCCACTCAGAGAGGATCAGGGGCTGAGGGGAAGAAGGGAGGTCTGCAGTGTGGACCATGTGTCTGTGAAGAGATTGTGGCATCCACAAGAGACAATGCCAGCCAGTAGAAACAAAGGGGCTGCATTCTCTTTGCACCTTGGGTGCAGCGTGCTTACGTGGGGTTTAAGAATTCATGTAATTAGCACCACAGGCTAATGATAACCGCTCCCTAGATTACAAGACAGTCCCATCATCTCCAGCATCTGGCCCCTTGGAGAAGAGTTTGCAGAAGGAAGAAAAGAAGACCAGAGAACATTCTCTATAAGGCCCTTTGCAGAGAAGAAAGCTCAGCTCCTGCCTTGGAAGCAAAGCTGTAGGAAAGCTCTTTCCCATCTTGCAAGATGGCAGGTGAAAAAGCTGAGAAGCCGGATACTAAGAAGAAGAAACCCGAAGCAAAGAAGGCTGATGCTGATGACAAGGGGAAAAGGGATCACCTCAAGACTGAACAACTCAAGAAGGGGAAGTCCCATTGCAGCCTCAATCCCATCCTTGTCAGAGGAATTGGCAGGTATTCCCAATCTGCCGTGTATTCCAGAAAGGACACGTGGAAGAGGAAGTACTGAGCTGCTAAGTCCAAGGTTGAAAAGAAAAAGAAGGAGAAGCTTCTTGCAACTGTTACAAAACCAGTTGGTGGTGACAAGAATGGTGGTACCTGGGTGATTAACAAAATGCCTAGATAGTATCCTACTGGAGATGTGCCTCGAAAGCTGTTGAGCCACGGCCAAAAGCCCTTAAGTCAGCTTGTGAGAAAGCTGTGAGCCAGCATTACCCCCAAAGCCATTCTAATCATCTTCACTGGGTGCCACAGACGCAAGAGGGTGGTTTTCTTGGAGCAGCTGGCTAGTGGCTTGTTACTTAGGACTGGACCTCTGGTCCTCAATCGAGTTCCTCTACGAAGAACGCACCAGACATTTTTCATTGCCACCTCAACTAAAATTGACATCAGCAATGTAAAAATCCCAAAACATCTCACTGATGCTTACTTCAAGAAGCAGCAGTTACAGAAGCCCAGACACCAGGAAGGTGAGATCTTCGACACAGAAAAAGAGAGATACGAGATTACAGGGCAGCGCAAGATTGAGCAGAGAGCTGTGGACTCACAGATTTTACCAAAAATCAAAGCTATTCCTCAGCTCCAGGGCTACCTGCGATCTGTGTTTGCTCTGAGGAATGGAATTTATCCTCACAAATTGGTGTTCTAAATTTCTTAAGAAGAACCTAATTATATAACTGATAACATTTAAAAAATAGTAAACCTGTGGGGACAGAGGCCTGGCCATGTCTGTGACCAGCATGCTGGAGTGGACGTGGGCCAGAAGGAGGAGGCACAGTGAGCGGTGGGGACACCCCGTGTTGTTCACAGGGCCAGGCACCCAGAGCACGGAGCAGAGCAGCTTCCTTCTTCCCCAGGCTGCTGAGCCTGTGCTGAGCATGTGTGGAGGGCGCAGTGGGCCGTTTGTTGGGGCTGGGAGCTAGCCCACTCTGCCGCCTCGGAGCAGATACAGCCATCAGTTACCCCAGCATGTGCAAGAAGGACGCCACTGTCCATATGCTGGGGCCGGGTCTGGAGCGCACTCAGAGACGGAGATCCGTGACTGTCCACACGCTGGGGCCGGGTTTGCAGCGCACTCAGAGACGGAGATCCGTGACTGTCCACACGCTGGGGCCGCGTCTGGAGCGCACTCAGAGACGGAGATCCGTGACTGTCCACACGCTGGGGCCGGGTTTGCAGCGCACTCAGAGACGGAGATCCGTGACTGTCCACACGCTGGGGCCGGGTTTGCAGCGCACTCAGAGACGGAGATCCGTGACTGTCCACACGCTGGGGCCGGGTTTGGAGCTCACTCAGAGACGAAGATCCCTGACTATCCACACGCTGGGGCCGGGTTTGGAGCGCACTCAGAGACGGAGATCTGGGTGCAAGAGGGTTATGGGGGTGTCCTGGAGACTAGCCCCCACTAGGGGAGAGGGCAGCGGGAATGAGCAGCAAAGGCCTCAGCCAGGCTCACAGGCAGCTCTGAGGCTGGGTGGCTGCACAGCAGCCTGAATCAGGCAGCTGACCCTGCCGTTACCTGGCATAGCAATCAGCCACTAAAGCAGGTGGCATGGGAGGGGCATGAGCTCACACCAGGCAGCCCCGTCCAGGTGAGTCCTGGGAGGCGATGCCTGTGCCTCTGTCTTGGAGCGGGAGTTTGGGGCGCCCCCCACAGCATTCACACTAGGCTGGGCTTCCCGGCCAGGCCCGAGGAGGAGAGCCTGACTGGGGTGGGGCCTTACACCTGGTGCCTGTATCAGCCTCCCCTGGATGGGATTTGGAGTTTCAGTGGATACCAACACCCATGTAGGGCCCACGATGACCTGCTTTCCAATTAAGTGAACACCTCAAAGTCCCTTCCAGCGTAAACAATCTCTGATTGCTTGATTTAATCCTCCACAGTTAAAGGAACCTCTGCACTAATGGGCTTGAGTGAAGTCTTTTTGCACAGTAATACATGGTCGTATAACCCCCACAACATGTCTCTAAACCCACGTGACAGTCACTTCTCTCGATAGTGATTACGCTTGTGCAGGGCTGAGATCTGAATGCTGGTTTCTACAGCGGATTTGTCATATTCAGGTAACGGGTTTTGGGACTTGAATGTATCTTTTTGGAGGGACACAATTCAACTCACAACACGCCCCCTCCTGGGCACCTGCACCCGGCGGTCCACACTCGGGATAAAGGCCCGGCCCTGGGCTCCACTCAGGATGACCCTGAAGGGCTGTGCCAGCTCCAGAGCTTCCCCGGGAACCAGCGGTTAGGGCATCACTGCCGGACGACTCCCTCTACCCCGCTGGCCTTTCTTCTCTCCCTTCACAGACCTTAAACCCGAGAGCACTGCCCCGCACCAAAAAACACTCTTCTGTCTCTGAGTGAGCTTCCCCAGGGACCCAGCCTGCATCAGGGACTCAGCTAGGTGGGGACACGGTCCCATGCCGACGCGTGGCTGTGAAACTAACAAACACAACATCCAAGGCCTCCAGGTGAGGGTCCCGACACAGCCACGTTGTGACAGGACAAGCTTGTTCCAGAACGTTTCAGAGGCTACCCCTGGGCAGCCACCTCCAGACTCCATTGATGAGCGGCCTTGGGAACCTCCCCCCGCCCCACTGTGCCCCACCGTGTCTGGTGATCCTCCTGGCCTGTAAACCGTGGCCCGGCCGACTTTAAGCAATTGTCAGTTATGTACTCACTTCTGCCTCCAAGACATCGGTCGGCCTCTACTGTACACGCCTCACACTGGGTGCCGAGGACATGCAGCTCACGGTCATGGCCCTGACTTCGAGTGACTCAAACTCGGTGGGAAGGAAGACAAATGCACAGCTTTCCATGACCCAGAGTGATGGGTGTGGGAGAGGCAGCCGCCAGCTGCCGTGGGAACCCAGAGAAATGAGACTTCAACCCAGACCCAGTCCACGTAGGTGCCTCAGAGACAGGGGGACAGTGGTCCTGGGAGGGGCACACTGTGGCTGCTCCTGCACAGCCAGGGAGCTACAGGGGTTTCCACATGGCCAGGTGCAGCAGGGAGGCCCAAGGCAGGCAGGCACCTGATTGTGAAGTGAACAACTATTGAGTTCCATAGGTTACTAAACTAGTTGGAGGTAGCTATGCCCAATCCTACTCCACGATACAATGCCTGATACATGTGGTGGCTGTGGATTTGTGACTGTGTTTAGCACATGGCCTGGGAGTTAAGACCCTCCCTCTCCCCTTTTGTGGTCTGGAGGGTTCACCTGAACCCTGTTCATTCCACATGGGGGGCCGATTTTTTCAATCAGATCAGTCCTGGGTCTTCACCAGCTCATCTGACTGGTCTGCCGAAGTTACTCCCGCTTTGATTTATGAATTCCATAACCAGATTTGTCACATCACAGGATTTCCAATCTTCAGATAAGCGAGGGCGGGTAGAAACCTTTGGGTCACTGTAGTTAGTTTCACACTTTCAAAACTAGAAAATTTCTAACCAGGGACAGTGAAAGAACGTGAGAGCCTCAGCACAGGTCAAACGCGAAAACACCTAAGAAATCAAGAGAATTAAAAAGAGAGGCCGGGCACGGTGGCTCACACCTGTAATCCCAGCACTTTGGGAGGCCGAGGAGTGCAGATCACTTGAGGTCAGGAGTTTGAGACCAGTCTGGCCAACATGGTGAAACCCCGTCTCTACTAAAAATACAAAAATTAGCCAGGCGTGGTGGGCTCCTGTAACTTCAGCTACTCAGGAAGCTGAGGCACGAGAATTGCTTGAACCTGGGAGGCACAGGTTGCAGTGAGCCAAGATCGCACCACTGCACTCCAACCCTGGGTGACAGAGTGAGGCTGCTTTTAAAAAAAAGAAAGAAAAGAAAAGAGGCTAGTAGTCTGAAGACAGGAAATGCCAGCTCGGTTTTCAAAAGCAGAGGAAAGATGAATTCTAAAAACCAACTACGTGCAGTGCCTCATGCCCATAATCTTAGCACTTTGTGAGGCTGAGGCAGGAGGATTGCTTGAGTCCAAGAGTTCAAGACCAGCCTGGACAACATAGTGAGACCCCCCCCATCTCTATAAAAAATTAAAACGTAGTAATAATTAGCCAGGCGTGGTGATGCACATATACAGTTGTAGCTACCCAGGAGGCTGAGGTGGGAGGATCGCTTGAGCCCAGGAGGTCAAGGCTGCAGTGAGCTATGATTGTGCCACTGAATTCCAGCCTGGGTGACAGAGTGAGACCCCATCTCAAAAAATTAAATAAATGAAAAGTAGAAACAAATCAGCAATCCCGACCAATTTTGAGCAAAATTCCAGTATGGAGTAATTTTTTTTTTTTTTTGAGATGGAGTTTCACTCTGTTGCCCAGACTGGAGTACAGTGGCACAATCTTTGCTCACTGAAACTTCCACTTCCTGGGTTCAAGCGATTCTCCTGCCTCAGCCTCCCAAGTGGCTAGGACTACAGGCACGCACCCACTGCGCCCAGCTAATTTTTGTATTTTTAGAGACAGGGTTTCTCCATGTTGGCCAGACTGGTCTCGAACCCCTGACCTTGTGATCCACCTGCCTCAGCCTCCCGAAGTGCTGAGATTACAGGCTTGAGTCACCGTGCCCAGCCTAGGGTAATTTTTAAATGATTAGGGAGATGGGGAAAAAACTAATTGCTGGGAACCAGCGTGTGGTCACTGAGGACCAATCGCCTTTCACTTCGACAAGGTTGTTAGATCGACAGCCCTGGAAAATGTTATGAGCTCCAGCTGCTTGTTTATTGTAGAAAAAAAAATTTACATCTTTCCACAATTATATGAAAAAACAGAAGAAAAAGAAGGAGGAGGAGAAAGGGGAGGAGGAGCCTAGAGCTAAGCAATGTCAGACGGTAACAGAAGGCTTCAGTGTGAGGCTGAGGTCCCCTGAAAAGAAGTCTCCACACCACACTCCCCAGTCTCAATCCCCCAGGTGTCTACAGGACCATGAAGGTGCTGCTGGGGTCTGTGAGCTAAACACGGCATCTCAAAAGGCCTAATGGAATGCGTACTCTTACCCACAGGCTAGCTAACGCGTCATTTCGGCACAGTGTAATTGAAGGGGACTGGGCTCTTGTTCTGTCCAAGATGCGTGGGCTTAAGTCGGTTATAAAATCTCTCTGGGTATGTTTGTTTCCAGCAAGAGGAAAATCTATAAAATCTGAAAGTCCTGTTGCCACAAAGCACCTAGAAATCCTGGAAAATTTATCCTGAATATCCTGTTAAACACACAGTGGGGCACACATCAGTAAGAGAGATCCCCAGCAGACAGAAGCAAAGAAGAAGCTGTGGACTCAGCTGCTGCCCTTTGGAGATATTTGCCAAGCTCAGGAACAGGGAGCCTCGGTGTCCACAGCCATCCAGGCACTGAATACCAAACCCGGGGCCTGCACGAGCCAGGGACTTGGAAGTGAGGCTCCCTAGAAATGCAGGAGCCTTGGAGGCCATACCCTCAGTGATAGAATGAGGCAAAACAGACATTAATAAAAGCAAATGACAAGGAAACACGTGTCTCAACTCCTGGGCTCTGAGTGGGACACAGTCTCCCTGAGAATCCATGCCTGGCCCCATTGGGTTTGGGTTTGAACTGATACCATTTGGTCTGGGAAACTAAAGTCAAGAAATTAGCTAAGAGTGGTGTTAAGTTGATAGTCCCCCAGATGCTTGGCAGAAACAAATGTGAAATCTCTCTGGAGCAACACGTCCTCAAACCAAGGTGTGTAGGATTTCCAAGATAAAGCCCAGCCGTGTACTATAAGATTAACCTTTATTGGCCAGGCACGGTAGCTCACGCCTCGAATCCTAGCACTTTGGGGAGCTGAGGCAGACAGATCACTTGAGGTCAGGAGTTCGAGACCAGCCTGGCCAACATGGTGAAACCCTGGCTCTACTAAAAATACAAACATTAGCCGGGCATGGTGGCGCATGTGTCTGTAGCCCCAGCTACAGAGGTTGAGGCAGGAGAATCACTTGACTCTGAGAGACAGAGGTTGCAGTGAGCCAAGATTGCGCCACTGAACTCCACCCTGGGCAACAGACTGAAACTCTGTCTCGATCAAAAAAAAAAAAAGATTAACCTTTATTGAAGACTTACCTTGTGCCAGGTACAGTTTTAAATCTTTGACCTGGGCCAGGCATGGTGGCCACACCTGTAATTTCAGCACTTTGAGAGGCTGAGGAGGACAGATCACTTGAGGTCAGGAGTTCAAGACCAGCCTGGCCAACATGGTGAAACCCCATCTCTACTAAAAATACAAAAATTAGCCAGATGTGGTGGTGGGTGCCTGTAATCCCAGCTACTCTGGAGGCTGAGGCAGGAGAATCACTTGAACCTGGAAGGCAGAGGTTGCAGTGAGCCAAGATGGTGCCACTGCACTTCAACCTGGGTGACAGAGTGAGACTCTGTCTCAAAAAGAAATAAAAATTAAATAAATAAATCTTTTACCTGTATTGTCCCACTTAATCTTCACACATTCTTCTAATGGTAGGTGGTTTTATTCTCATTATTGTTTATTAAAATCATTCATATTCCTGGATTAGGAATAGGAGAGAATGAAGGCACAGAGCGGATGACTAACTTACTCAAGAACACACAGCAAAGAAGATTTGAGATTCAAACCCAGGAAGTCTGGCCCACAGTCCACAGAGGAACCCGTCATGAGCACGAGTTACCTGGAATCAGTCATAGGGCTTCCAGGCAATGGAATTTTGGGGCACAGAATACAAATAAGAATGTTTAAGATGTTTAAGACATTCTCAAAAATGCAGACAAGACACAGAAGAAAAAGACAAAGTAAATAAGAGAGGAAAACAATTAAAATTTTTAGAAACAAAAAATGTAAGTTGGGCACAATGGCAGGTGCCTGTAGTCCCAGCTACTCAGGAGGCTGAGGCGGGAAGATTGCTTGAGCCCAGAAGTTCGAGGCTGTAGTGTTCTGTAATAGCACCTGTGAATAGCCGCTGCACTCCACCCTGGGTGGCATAGTGAGACCCTGGCTCTAAAGAAAAAATAAATACACACACTTAAAAATTAAAATTCAAGGTGTTAAAGTTAAAGCACAAGTTAGATCAATAGATGTGAGGAAACAAATTACTAAACTGAACGAACTATCTAAAGAATACACAGGATGAGTCATGGAGAGACAAAGACTTGGAACAAATAATGAAAGCAAGTTAAGAGAAACAAAGAGGCTGGGCACGGTGGCTCACGCCTGTCATCCCTGCACTTTGGAAGGCCGGGACAGGTGGATCAAAAGGTCAAGAGATCAAGACCCGCCTGGCCAACATAGTGAAACCCCGTCTCTACTAAAAATACACAAATTAGCTAGGCATGGTGGCGGGCACCTGTAATCCCTGTTACTTGGGAGGCTGAGGCAGGAGAATCGCTTGAACCCGGGAGGCAGAGGTTGCAGTGAGCTGAGATCATGCCACTGCACTCCAACCTGGCAACAGAGCGAAACTCTGTCTCAAAAAAAAAAAAAGAAAGAAAGAAAGAAAGAGAGAGAGAAACAAAGAAAAGGTGAAGGACCGACATGCATACATCTGATGGTCTGGGAAGGAAAAAAACAGAGGAAGTGAAGGAGAGCCCATATGCCAAGGGCTGATCCTCAGACTCAGGAACTTAACCTAAAGTATGATCCCACACCTGAACCCACCACAATGAAACTACAATGGACCAAAGACAAAGGCACACACTGAAAATCCACCAGAAAGGGCAGACCCCTTCAGAACACTGCATAGCAGGCAGATAGCTTGACTTCTCACGGGGGCATCAGAAACCAGAATGCAAAGGAATATTGCTTTCAAAGTACTAAGTCAAAATCATTGTTAACGTGGGACTACTGCCTGTCTACTGAAATTATCATTCAGGAATGATGGGAAAATGAAGATATTTACAGGCAAAAAGAAACTAAATGAATGTATTAAGAGATCTTCATTTAAAAAGTTTCTTGAGAAAGTGCTTTAAAAAGAAGAAAATTGAACCAAGAAGGAGGGTCTGAGGTGAGCAAAGAAAGGGGTAAAAAATATACCAATAAAGTTTTTAAAAAAAATCACTGACTAGAAAAAACACATAACTAATTTAAGGCATAATAAAAACAACGTGAAATAAAATATTGGTCAAAAGTAACATGCAAAGTTGGATAAGGTGATTATAGTAAAAGCATTCTAAAATTTTGGTATTTCAGACAAAATGGGAGAAGGATAGAAAAATTGTAGAATTGCAGAAATTAAGTACATACATTTGAATTTTCAAACACCACTAAAAAATTGGCAATTTTCAAAGAGATAAGAAAGAGGAATACAGTTTATAACTTTCAAAATAATAGCAAGAGCTAGGCACAGTGGCTTACACCTGTAATCCCAGCACTTTGAGAGGTCAACACAGGTGGATCACCTGAGGTCAGGAGTTCGAGACCAGCCTGACCAGTATGGCGAAACCCATCTCTACCAAAAGTACAAATTAGCCAGGCATGGTGGCATGTCCTTGTAGTCCCAGCTACTTAGAAGGTTGAGACAGGAGAATTGCTGGAGGTGGGAGGTGGAGGTTGCAGTGAGCCGAGATCGCACCACTGCATCCAGCCTGGGCAACAGAACGAGACTGCATCTCAAAATAATAATAATAA